TGGGGGACACTTGTGGGGGTGGGTGGGCGGGACTGTGGGGGGGATCCAGGGGTCTCCAGTGGATATGAGTGGGCACCAGGGCATGGTCCATCAGAGGAGCCTCACTGTCCCTCTTGGGCTGCACAAGGGACTCCCAGATGGTGGTGCAGGCTGCCCAGAGCCCTGGGCAGCGGAGGACAAGCACCCAGCTTCAGACACAGAAGCAATGATGGGGGAGGGGTCAAAACGGGAAACCTCCTGCTTGGAGCCTCTGGCAGCTAAAAAAAAATAAGCCTGAGAAGCGCTCAGAAGGCAGTCCCTTTCCCAGCTCACTCCTTCCTTCCTTCCTCCCTTGCTTCTCTTTCCTTCCTCTGTGCTCAGGAAGGGATGACGGGAGGGGGAGAGATTGCCAGCGCTGCCGGTGGCCATGCTGCCATCGGCCTTCGCTATCCCATGCAGGCAGGGGTGGTCCCGGTAAAAGCGAAGCCTCGTGGCTTCGAGGTTTGGTCAGCAAGCGGGCGTGGTGCTGATCTACCGGTTGGGGCCAATCAAAGCCAGAATGCGCTTAGCCTTAGATCCCCAGCGCAGCCCTGGAGCCAGCGAGGGCTCCCCCACCGTCTCTGCCCAGCCCCCTGGGGGATGCACAGAGAAGGCAGTGAGCGCTGGTGTCCTGGGGGAAAGGGAAGCGCTTCACTTACCTTTTTTCTTTCTCAGTGGTCAGCAGAGATGCCAGGTGCTCACCGCCTCCTGTTTGCGTGCCCAGGGGGTGGGGGCAGCCCCTCACTGGCCCTTTCCCGCCAAAACCTCCTTTTATATCCTCTCCTCTCTCGCCCCCTCCTCTTCTCTTCAGCGCCGATCAGCTGGAGCCTGGCGCTGATCCGGGTGCTTCTGCCGAGCCCCGATAGCCCTGCAGCTCCAGCTGTCTCTCTCTCAGGCTTGTGCGGCGCTTCAGCTCATTCCTCTCTACCCTGCTACCATTTCTCTAGGACGGTCACGTACCACCTGCCAGGTGCCAAAGTACCACCGGTTGAAAAGCCTTGGATTAGAGGGACTGAACTGTTTTTTTATTCCACTTTAATACTGCTAATTTTGTTTGGTTAATGTCATCTCATTTCCCACTCATTCCTCTGTGCGAGAATGAATATTTGTAGTGAAAAGTCTCAATTCTCCTCAATGGAAATTCCATTGTGATAAGTCATTATTTATACCCGGAGGGCAATAAAAAGTGGGAAAGGCTGATACGCTGGTTCTGTCTCTCTTGAAGTCACAAATGTTTTTCTTGCAGCCAGTGTACACATTCCATGCATTCGCTTCCCTTCCTTTACCATATCCTCCCCTCCCTCCCCTACAAGTAATAAGTTTTCTTTTCAAGTCAACATGCTACACCAAAATTTTTGTAAACATTGGCAGCCCCATTTCAGAATGAAAATGGAAGGTTAATGGTTGTGTTATGCATTCTATTTCTTGCAGAAAAACAAAATGTCTTCTTAAATTTTAAAAGCGAACTGATGCAATTTGGTGGAACTTGAATCCACATCATCCTGGACATATTAAGCATTTTCCTAAATAGGTGTACAAACATACAGAGAATAATAGAGAGAGGGCAAGCGGTAATTGAAAGGCAAAATGTCTTTTGAAAATATGTTTTTTTAATAATGGATGGATAATTTATAAATATATGTATTAGAAAAGAATTGCTTCTGGAAATTTCAGTTTGAGGATGTATCATGTCATTAGGCAACATTGATAATCTCAATGGACAACTAAACACTTGATCACCTAAATGTCTACTTTTTTAAGTTTCCTGTTCTTTGGGGTTGAAGAGGCATGGTGTTGATTTAGTGACAGATAATATACAAATTCTACACCTGCAGACAACTAAATTCAGAAGGAGCAGCAGCCTAGCAAAAGATAAAATATTCATCTCTAAATTCTGGGATTTCTAAAAATATTTTTAATTCTTCTATCTTCCACAATAATTTGTAGATAAATCAAGTTGTAGCTTCACGGGCCTTGCCCTTAAGTCATTGTTCATTATCCATATGCAGGCAATGCAAACATCTTTTTAAAAAAATGCCTGTTAGATGGCCTGCACAAAGGTCACCCATGTAAGGGATAGTTTTAATATCTAATATGATGTCTGATGTAGGTCTATAAGTCACATCAGAGCTAGTGTGGTGTAAAAGTTAAGATGTTGGGCTAGAAACAAAGAGGCCCACATTTTAGTCCACCCTCCAACATAGAAACTCACTGGTCACATTCTTTCAGCCCTCTCTGCTTGACAAGAGTTGCTGTGAGGAAAATACTGTAGGAGGGAGTGCTATGTAATCCACCTTCAGCTCCTGAATGAAAGGCAAAAATATCAATCTGATTAATCAATGACATTTACAGGATTCTGTCATTTCCTACCCACCTGCAGACATTGCTGGCAATTTGTCTTATTACAAATTCTGCTTCTGTTTCTATGCAGAAAATGCAAAAACCTTCAAAGCTCCACCCAATTCATATACAAGCAAATCCGATGACACTGTTGTTACTCACTATCATATTTAGTACATCCAATTAAAGCTAAACATTATGATTTAGCTTAACACGCAAAGCATACTACGTATTAATTTCTATGTCCTGAAGCATTAATTAGAAGGAACATGTGTACAGTACAGTTACTAAGCAGCGGAGAAAGATCTTTAGCCCTTCCCATTCCAGCATGGTCTAATATTTGTTATTGTTGGCAAAACAATATTTTAAATATTTTCTGTATTGTAATTTGAATAATAAAGCGGTTGCAGCAGAGAACAGTGTGAACCCTATATGCAGATGACTCTGCAGAAACAAGGTATCTAGTATCTAGTTTCTTTCCAGCCCAAATCAAAATGCCCATATAGTGGGTTGTCTTCAGTGCTTAGAGGCAACATATCCATAGAAGCCTCCAGTAGCCCAACAAAGCTGGGCAGATGTCAACTAAACCCTGGGAACAACCACATTGCAAGACAAAGCATGATAGATTGTGTCCATTGCCAAGTCATATCAGGAAAAAAGGGAAATAACCAGTGCTTTTTTTGTCATAGAACGCACAGGAACAGAATTCCGGCACCTTTTTTCAATGGATTTTCCAAGTTTTAAAAGTAACTTTTGAAAATTTGATGTTTGGTCCACATGGACTTGATTCTCCCTGTCGAGCATAACAGGTCGGCTGGAAAATCATTAAAACGCTGCATGCGGGCTGCTTGTGTGTCAAGTCTAATGCATGCGGACTTCATCCGCACTAGTTGTGATGGCGCTGCTCAGCTTGTGGCACTGCTCGGCTTGTGATTGGTTGTGTGGTCGCGTGCTGAGTGCTTACTGAGGGCGGCGACCATTATGTTTCGTTACACAACTGACATGTGTGGGTGTGTGTACAGTAATTAACTACGTGCTAAAGGTAAATAATTTCTTTATTTTAAAAAATCATTGGTGAATTGAAAATCTTTTTAAAATTTTTAGTGTAAAAGTGTGACCCCCAAATTTAAAAATGAAAAAAAAAATTACTAATTACTCCTCAACCACCGGTCCTGCTAAGAACTGAATATATAATTTTTTAAATAAAAGATTAACAAGATGTGAGTTCCAGCACCTTTTTTCTTACAAAAAAAAGCACTGGAAATAACTATTTTGAAACTGAAACACCCAATTTTTTTAACTTTAAGCTACTTCAACAATGAAAACTATTATATAAAAATAATTACCAGAGCACAACTGTGGTAGAGTTTGAAAGATGTGAAAATCAGTCTGCTTATGTTGATAAAATGGATCTGAAAATAGTCAAAACAGACTGAATAACTCTTGATTAACTAGGTGCCTTCAAATTCTTGTTGGCCACAAACTACGTAAACTTCCTTCCAGAATGATCTATCCTCAGCCTGGCCTTTTAGATTTCCCTGTTAATGTATTATTACTATAATTGAATCCATCCTTACTTCAAGTTCTCTCTGCTTTTCCACCATTATCATTCCATTAATTGGAACAGGATCTTTGTATAATGTGTCCGAATTATAGCTTGAGAACGGTTGTTTGTACCTTGAATAATACCTCTGATTTGTTGTGATTGTGTTCAACATTCAAAAGCTCTTGGGTGTTTAAACTGTATACACAAGGGTTTGGGAGACAAAAACTCTAGTTCTTCATATATCCCACTAGTCAATAAAAAAACTCAATTTCAAAGATTAGAAATAAGAATTACTTTTTAAACAAAACAGCCGCCTGCCAGACTTTTACCTAATTGTGGTTTAAAGAATGGAAGAATCAATGTGAGAACACAGAAAAATCATACCACGGAAAACAGAATTTGCACCCCTTAATAACCACCAAGAGAAATTACAATTAAAAGCCTCACCTAGACATTTTAATAATTGCTAAGTGGGAAGAAGAAATGTAACAGCAAACCAGACTTCATCTAGGCCAGTGTTTCTCAACCTTGACAATTTTAAGGCATGTGGACTTCAACTCCCAGAATTCCACAGCCAGCATTGCTGGCTGTAGAATTCTGGGAGTTGAAGTCCACATGCCTTAAAATTGTCAAGGTTGAGAAACACTGATCTAGGCCTCTTCTCTTAAGAATAAGCTCTTTTGAACATAAGGGAGTTCATTCAGTTGGAGCCCGCCCAGAATCCTAAAGAGTTGCATTAAACCAGTGTTTTTTCAAACTTGGGAGCTAAGGTGTATTGACTTCGACTTCCAAAATGCTGACTGCAGAATTCTGGGAGTTGAAGTCGACGCAGCTTAAAATGGCCAAGTTCGAAAAACGCTACCATTAAACCCACGCGATGCAGCAGACGTCACCCCGCCCTCCCCCTCAGCGTCCCGGCGCGACTCCTCTGCGATTCGCTGTTCCTGCCGTCTTTCCCCGCCGCTCAGCCCTTGCAGCTGAGGTAGTGACGCCACAGGCCGCGCAGAGAGGTTACGTCTTGCCGGGTGCGTTTAATCCGCTTCCGCTTGAGCGGGTACTTCAAAACACGGCTACGTATTTATGAGCGCCCGGATTTGGATGGCGCTTTATTTCTGAGGTAATTCTTTTTCAGTTCCTCTGAAGATAAATTTATTTTCCTCCCAGAGGAAAATAATGCTTGAAATGATGCTTAATGCTCAGAAAGGAGTGTCCAGGTGGGAAAGATAAGAGACTTTTAAAGGTAATGGGGAAAAGTCTCGCTCTCTCTTCTATCCTGGGAAACCAGGTCTCATCCTCTCCCACCTCCTCATGGGCTTGCTAGTTCTCGGCTCCCATGCAACTATTACAGGAGACATAACAAAAAGGCCAGGTGTTGTCTAATACATACTCAAAACAGGCGTCTATTCCAGCTCATATTTCTGTTTAGTAGTTAAGTCCTGCAGAATAAACAATTCTGCTTCAAAAGAAGCTTAGATAAAACTTCTTGTGAAAGGGATGTGCATCATCTCCAAGAGTATAGAGTCTTTCACATGCAAGTTGCCAATGTATGTATGCAACAAGGAGATGTATCTAGGCATGTTACAGACTTGTGGTTTTATCTAGTTTAGTAACAATTGTGCAAGTTGCTAGCTTATGATTTAGACTGTTCATGAGATCAGTTAACCAGAGGTTCCTACGTCAGTACTATAACTGAAGACTCCAGAATTCAAGCAGTATTGTAAAAGAGTTTATACCAATAAATGGAAATTGTTATCTTAACCTTGAAATATTCTATCTTTCAAGCAGGTTAATCAGTTCTCAAAATGGGGACACCTATATTGAACAAATCTAGATCATTCTACACTCCTGAGAATTGTGAGAATTCTGTTCAAAGCAGCAGCTTAGGGAAACAGGTAACAAATATATCAGGAAATGTATTTTAATGTAAGTTTGTATATTCAGATTATTAAAAACAGCTCTTGATTACATTTACGTTAGCTAATGAGTACAGCCCTACGAGAACGGTTGAAGAAAACAAGAAGATCCTTTCAATCAGATTTTATTGTCGCCAAACAACTTAAAATAGATGATGAAAACAATAGTAATCAGAAGGAGAAAACTTTATCTATGGAAGAACCATATTTTGTATCGCATGCTGAGGATAAGTGCTTGGAAAAAGTTCCTGATGAAACTATGTGTTCGAAGAGTTCTGCAGAAGACGGATCACTATCTGAATACAATGGATATAATAAAGTTACGCACAATTCTTCAGAAATTAATTTGTTGGGGACAGACTGTAAACAATGGGAGCTGTTGGAGGAAAAGATGACACTAATGAAGCAGCTTCAGGAAAAAGAGGACATTCTTCGAAGGCTTAAATTAGTCAAACTATACAGAACAAAGGTAAGTAAAGTAAATATTAAGACTTCATGAACAGTTTTAAATAAGTTTAAATGTATTGGAAATAAATCCTGCAGATAAGGCTGTTTTTCAATATTTTTGTTATACTATTGCATTCCCAAATACTAACTGATCTTAGCATGACATCAAGCCAATTTATGTTCTAGTTGATTCTTGCACAATAGCTTTCCTCTATTCTAGGGATGAATAAGTTTGACTTATTGACTTATTAAGGAAATTGGTCATTTCCTTAATAAGATACTATTTCTTGCCAATATGTAAAGTGCTGTCTATTTTTAATTTAAAGCTGAAAAGAATTATTTTTATGTAATACCAATTCTAGATAAACTATGTTTGTACTCAATGTCATTTACTCATTCTTGTCTTTTTGCATATATTAAAATTATGATTCCTTGCAGAAGTCATATCCATTGTTTAAACTGTGCCAATGTTTATGTATTTTGCTTGTTCTGGAAAATAAGAAAGGGTTTTTTCCCCCCCAAACAAATGTATGTTATAATTCTACTCCTAAGTAAGATAAATCTATTCTACAAGTAATGATAAGTAAATTTATTGTCTCCAACATGTGATAAGATTTTTAAAATAGTTTTTGTGTATGATACTTTATTCTTTCAAGTTGAAAGTACACTACAAACATGGGGCAAGGGGAAAATCCTGATATTTATACTTCTAAATTCTGTGAATTTCTGTTCTCTATTGCAGGAGTCTCCAACTCCCAGGCCACGGCCTATTCGGAATTGGGCTGTATGAGTGGCTGGCTGGAGAGAGCATGTACATGCAAGTCAAGCAGCACGTATGCGTGCTGGCTTGCCACTTGCGCAAGGGGTGCGTGTGTGTGCGCACATGCATCAGCCTGCTGTTCATGCAGCCCACTTCCCATCTCCCCCTCCAGCCAGGCTGCCAAGCCGCAAAGGTTGGGGACCGCTGCTCTATTGGAATCTTTGTTTAGGTTATCCATTTCAGCTATATCACTCTATAAGTATTGCTTTTTTCTATTTCCTTACAGAATAACCCAGAAGAGTTACAATTTCTGATATCAAAATGGAGAAAGAGTTCCCAAGCAATGCTATATGAGCTGCAGACAGCCTTATCTACTGATAACAAGAAATTAAGTCTTACTCAACTGATTGACAGTTTTGGATTAGATGACAAACTCTTACATTATATCCGAACAGATGAAGATTTTACAGATCCATAAAAAATAATGTTTTATTTCACTCTTAAAAATATATCAAAAGATGACTATTTTCAAAAATTGAATCTAAGTTCTGAACTGTATGACTACATTATTATAAGAACCTGCTACCTCTTTTTGTTTCCTTTTTACTCCAGCCTCTATATTTAAATCCTGGCCTCCTTATTTAATACATTAAATTCCATGATTATGTTATTATGTCCCTTCTCATTTGTTCTTAACACAGTCTCTCTTCAAATTGCAATCATTCAGCCAATTTCTTTTGCCAAGTTGCTTTAGCATACTTTTCCATATACAAGGATATATTTCTATTCTTTTATGAGTTTTTAATTCCTCTGCACATCTTTTGGTTTTGTAAAAGTGGAATATACCAGTTTTATTAATGACAACAGTAATCTGTTACAATATAAACTGGTAAAATTTAAATGCATTGTGAATATAAATATATTGATCAAAATAAATTATGATACAATTTTTATAAAACTATCTTAATATAATAAAGAATTAAGTTGAAAGAGAAAAGAAGGGGAAAAAACTACCTTGCCTAAGAGAGTTTATTGCTAAAATTATTGCACATCAAAGAAAGCCGGGAATGTTCTCATTCTCAATCTTTCTACTTCAGCTTGAAGGATGGCCAACTCCTGGGCTTGGGCTTTTGCAAGATCTACCAGCTGCTGTCGTTGTACAATGTCCTCATAATGCTCCTTAGCAATGTTTTGGTTCAGTAGTTCTGAGTCTGTTTTTTAAACAAAAATATTCAGAATAAAATCAATCAACTGATTACCAGTCTTTCCCAAATTTCTTTCAAATTTACTAGCAGGACCACGGTAACTATCATTTGTTATTATGAGTTGTACATCATTATACGATTGATGAAACATTTACTTCATTTGCACCCCAAACACTTTTGTTTATTTTTATTTATTAGATTCATTTGCTGACTATCAGTATTACTAAAAGGCTCACTGAGTGAAGGGATCCAGTTGCTAGTGGTAGGAGATTGGTGACCATCCCCTCAAAACTATTGAAAAATCTAAAATAACAACATGGAATTAAAGACAATAAAAATGTCAGAATATATTGTAATGCTTAACAATGTTGTGGCAACTGGTAATTGACCTAGGAGATTTTACATACTTCGATAATATCCAGATTATTTTGGGAAAAAATGATTTTCATAAAGAGTGCATAATGTGACCTCACTAGCTACGTATTTAGAAGAAGAAAATCTATTGTGATCTTTTTTGGCAGAAAAGTGGTATCTGATCCTTGCATGTGACTTACCGGTAGCCTCATAAATGTGCCGCCTTTCTGATACAATAACAAGCATTTCTTGTAATTTTTTGCTGAGCTTCTGGTTTGCTACCTCTTTTAAGTGTATTTGTTTCTCTAATTCTTTAATTATTTTTTCTTTTTGTTCTATATTTTTCTTGTGAACCTGGTAATTGAAAACAAATTTATTAAAAAGGGATCTTTAGAATGTATTAAGTGAAAAGGTGCTAAAACAAATTTTATTTTTTCTGTGAAGGAGGGTAATGTTAGATTTTAATATGATTTAATTCAGAGTTTAAAAATGTAGCCAGTAACTGAAACTATTAATAGAAAGTGAGGGTCCCATCACTATAGAACATATTATTTTGGTATATTGTTTCCCCAAGTGAGAAGTTGAAGTAATTATATTACTAAAACAGAAGCACTCAACCATATAAAAGATTTGGATCCAAAGCAGGCAAAGGTGGGCCTTTTCTGTTTCTACTGGCTTCTCTTTAAAGAAACAGTGGCTTTTTTTGAGCTTCTATGATAGCTGTACAAGCAAACATACAGAAGCTTCATCAATAGACAAATGATGTTTTCAAGTTATATATGTATTATTTACTTAAAATATTTTAAATAATTCAAGTTGCTAGTGATCTTTTTATCATTTGGTTCTAACTCATTTTGATAAGCTGTCAACCAAAGTTGCTTGCAAACAACTTTTTCTTCATTCTGTTCTATCCCCTTTCCAAAATGGTCTTATTTTTAGTTATAAAAATTTGATTCACTGGAAATACTTCAGAATTGTAACAATATTTTTCCAATTATTTTTTAGACTTCATATATGTTCAATAATGTAAGATGAACACAATTGAGACAACTAAGTTAAGTTCTATAGTACACTCTTAAATGCTTTGAGGAAAAGTGATACTAAGATAATAATAAAAAGCAAATGAAACGAACTGATGTTCGTTTTTGTCTCTTGAACATTATAAATAAGGATAACTAATAGCTAGGAGCAGGTTAACTGATGCTGTAGTGCAGGGGTGTCAAACTCGCAATGTCATGTGATGTGTCGTGACGTATCGAGACTTTCCATTGCCAGCAATGGGGTGGGTGCGGTTTCGGCATGACGCATCCGGCCCGTGGGCTGGCAGTTTGACACCTCTAGTGTATTCAGAATCAGGAAGATAAATCACAGTTCATTTATGACAACTGAAGGAAGAAGAGGCAGAACTGAAGAGTGCATATTGAAATAAATCCTACTGACTGAGCTAACTTCCAAAATAATCTCATCTAGTAGTTGGGTGATGGACGTTTGTGTGCAAATAAGTTTGAAAATAAAATTGTTTTAGTAAGAGTTAATCCTTTTCATGTGGCAAGCTTTGTATACAATGGGGGAAAAAAGGTCAGTCTAGAACGGGCAAGCGACCTTGGCTCTCTTTTATGACTTGTGGACTTCAACTCCCAGAATTCCTGAGTCAGCATGGCTGGTTCAGGAATTCTGAGTATTGAAGTCCACAAGACAAAAAAGCCAAAGTTGCCTACCCCTGGTCTAAAAAAAGACAGTTTTTTGGGTGACAAATTAGGACTGTAGTCTGAAGGTTACAGATGTGAAAAGCAAAAGTAGAGGTGATTGGAAGTATTTAGAAGAACTCAAAATTGTCTTCCTTTAGCAGGTATAAATATGAGGGCATCTCATCTGTAAGTCTAAACTAAGATAAATATGTTGAGTAGGTTGCATATTCCATATTTCTTTATTACAATTTATTCCATAAAAAAACTTACCTTGTCTAGAAAGTTAAATGTTCCTTCCATTATTGATACTTCATGATTCATCCGCTTATCATAGTTTAAGACTGATAAGAACTATGAAAAACAAAAGATCAAGCTAATAAAGCTGATGCTTCCAATGTTAAATCCTAGATTTGCAATATTAACATGGCAAAAGTAATCTTCCAAAGCAGTGGTTCTCAACCTTTTTAATACCGCGACCCCAACCGGTCGTAAGTCGAGGACTAAACCGGTCGTAAGTCGAGGACTAAACCGGTCTAAGTCGAGGATTACCCAACCGGTCGTAAGTCGAGGACTTTCCCTGCCCGGGAGCGCCGCACATGCGTGGTTCTGCCCCCTGCGCCGGCCGAGGCATAGCTGGCAAGCGGCAGAGATGGAGCAGGCCGACCACCAGCTGGCCCAGCCCAAGGGAGGTAAGGCACCCGCCGGAAAAGGGGAAAAAAATGGCGGACAAAAAAATGGCGGACAAAAAAAATGGCGGACAGCCTTGCTTGGCGACCCCCGTGAAATGGTCGATCGATCCCAAATGGGGTCCCAACCCACAGGTTGAGAACCACTGTTCCAAAGGAAGATTGTTCTGCTTTCCAGTAACAAATCTTAAATAAATTCACATTTACCTCCAAAGTGCTTTTATATGCTGTCTCAGATAGAGGGCACATATACTGTAGTTGTGCTTAAGATTGTGAACCCTGTTGAATGTTAAATATTTCTGCAGAAATATGACCTTAAATTTGATCTGCTCTCCATGTAAGTCTTAAAATAGATAAAGAAAACCTAATTTACTGAATAAGTAAAAAACATACTTTTTCACTTTATAGAATAAAGTGATCCAAAACTACATATTTGTATGTTCAAAGATATTTGAATCTTTGCTTTCCACTAAGTAGCATACCTTCTTGGGCAGCAGCAACTTCAAACATTTCCAATAATTTGATCAGTCCTATACATCAACTTGGAGGAATTTTAGCCCTCCTTATAGAACACTTCAACTCAGAAATTTGGTGAGCTTTCACATGTGAACTGCCTGCTTCAGATCCTTCCACATTTCTATAGGATTAAGGTCAGGACTTTGACTTGGCCATTCCAGAACATTAACTTTCTTCTGCTTTAACTATTCTTTGGTTGTACAACATGGGGTTGTTGTCTTGTCATATGACCCACTTTCTCAGTTCAAAGACATACCCTGATATTTCCCTGTAGAATTTGTTGGTATAATTCAGAATTCAGAATTCCATCAATGATGTCAAGCTATTCTGGTTTGGAGGTAGCAAACCATGATACTGCCACCACATTTCACAGATGGGATAAGGCCTTCCCATTGGAAGGCAGTGTTTGTCTTTTGTAAAATATAAAACTTTCATCTAAGCCAAAAAGTTCTATTTTGATCTCATCTGTCCACGGAACATTTTTGTAATAGTTTTCTGGCTTATCCACATTTTACAAACTGTAGACAGACAGCAATGTTCTTTTGGAAGAGTAGTGGCTTTCTCCTTGTAACTCTGCCTTCCACATCATTGTTCAGTGTTCTTCTAACAATGGTCTCATGAACATTGATATTTGCCAATGGGACAGAGGCCTTTAGTTCCTTAGATGTTATCCTTGGCTATTTGAAAACACCTAGAGTATTACTCAGTGCTTTTTTTGTAAAAAAAAAAAAATAGGTGCCAGAACTCACACACGTCATACAACCCGCCTTGCCTACCCTACAAGGTTCCATCCAAAAAAGGTGCTGGAACTCCGTTCTGAGCGTTCTATGACAAAAAAAAAAAGCCCTGGTATTACTTATCTTATACTTGGTGAGATCTTGGTATCCTAGAAAGGATAAGAATTGCCTCCATTTGTACACAATCTGCCTGACAATACAATGGTAAAGTCAAAATTCTTCGGAAATAGTTTGTAATGTTTTCCATCCTGGTGAGTATCAACAATTATTTTTTAGAGGTCCTCAGAAATCTCCTTTTTTCAAGCCAGGACACACCTCTATATATTTGTGTTGTGAAGAGCAGATTTAATCAAAATACCCAGAATTCTATTCAGACCTCCCACACTTACACCTGATTATATTCCTACTGAGGGAAACACCTATAATGTGTGGATGAACTTGGGGGAATGAGGGGAAGAGAAATTGCTTAGGAAACAATCAGAAAAGGGAGACAGGAGCCCTCAGTGGCTTAATGGTGGGAGAAGAAAATTTAGGAAGGACCTGCACTAATGGATCAAAAATGGCAGCGGGAAGTTTGTACTTTCAGACTTGCAAGATTCTGTTAATGTAGTCTTACAATAAAGTTGAATTAATTCATCTAGTTGTGTTCCTGTCTGGTTTACCTGGGAGGCCTGACCACACCTGACTCTAGTTTCCCCTTCAAATGAACTGATAATTCTAGAGTTCACATACTTTTTTCTGCAGACAAGTACGTAATTGGATCATTTTCTTTAATAAATCAATGAATATGCCTAATATTCAGTGTTGTCTCATAGTGAGATGGGTGACAAAAAAATAATAAATAATTCTTTATATTCATTTATTTAATTGGTTTCTCTTTATCTAGTTTTAGGACTTATGTGGAGAACATATGTTTTAGGTCATATTTATGCAGAAATATTGAAAATGTAAAAGGGTTCACAAACTTATAGAATAAAACATAGAGAGGTCTCATATGCAGATATTGATGAGGTAGAATATCAATAGCAATTGCACTTAGACTTATATACCACTTCCTAGTGTTTTACAGCACTCACTATCATATGGACTTTCTAATACGGTTACATATTTTTATATCATCATGATGTATTTGAAAATATGAACTTACAATCTGATGATCTTTTGTAACATTTAGTTTTTGTATATCTCGAGCCTTTTGATTCAGATCGTCTACTTGCATCTGCATTTTTCTATGTTCCCATTCCAGCTGAAATATCCCTTTACGGAAATCTTTACTTTCTACCATACTGGCAATCTTTTTTTCTCCTTGAGCCTTAAAAAAAAAGAAATATTTCTTCATGCAGCATATTGTTTTAAAACTGAATTCTAATAAAAGGTAGATGAGATTTCGTAAAACTGAAGGGAAAATGGCAAAGTTAACTCCTTTCAAATTAACAACATTTGTGTGCTAATTGAATATGAAGGATTTAAAAGCAAAGACAGCCATAATGAATAAGAAAGAAAAAAAGTTATATGCTCACTGGTATTTAGGTTCAGAGTTAGGAGAGTTGGTTATATTAGTTGGAGCTTGTAATATGTGATAAGAGAATTAAAATAAGGTTAATTGTTGTTTAAAAAACTAGAACTGTATTTAATTAGAAGTTGTAAATGCAAAGAAAATAACTTTGCATATAAGTCATCTTCAGAGGCTTTATCTTTTCAAAGAAAGGTTGTTACCCAGATCATGCTGTTCAGCTCTTCAATAATAGTCCTGTTGATCAGAATAGCATCTGTGTAATCTGGTATTAAGTGGGTGCCATCTAGTTCCACTTGCCCTTGTTTAAAAAGGAACTGGACCATCAAATCTAATTGAAATCTCATTTTCTGCTCCCGAAGCCTAGAATTATATAACATTTTAAAAACAATATAACTTATTTTAAAATTTTACCAGAATGTTGATCAGAAAAAAACCCATCTAGACTACACTATTTATATAACTATACAGGTAATCCTTAGGTTATGTCCATTCAGTAACTGTTCAAAGTTAAGATGGTACTGAAAAAGTCATCTTACAACCAGTTCTCACATTTATAACTGTCACAGTGTTTCTGTCATCACATTATCAAATTCAGGCATTTGGTGAGGACTATCTGCATTGGGGGAAAAAATAGAATTTTTAATCTGATGGGTTCTGCATTCTGTAAGGTAAGAATGACCCATAGATGCTTTCTTTTTCAGAGGGCAACTCTTCCATTGTCTGCAATAATGTTGAATAAAGAACATGATTAACAATTATAATGTTTTCTTAGAGTTTCACTCCATAACAAAAAGATCTTTTATACTTTGGGTACTGTAGTATAAGTTTATTTAGTCAAGATTACTACTACTGTACTACTATATTATTATGGTATACTGTAATATATATTATTATGAGATAATATATATAAGTACAATAATAATGTAATATATGCTTTTATAATATAAAAGAAAAAAACAAACTTACAAATTGATCTCAGCAAAAACATGGTCAATGTCTTTCCGCAGCTGTTCATCATCTTCAATTCTTTTTTGAAGATAAGTTTGCATCTCTGCTAGTGTCAGGGCTTTTTGCTTCACCTTTGCAAAAAGGAAAATAACCTTTAGAATTTTAAGATTAATACTACTTTCAAATCACATTAAATTGTCTTTTACATCATTCATTTACATCTAGAGACTGATGGAATGTTTGAGTCCCATGAAAATAACAAACCACTTTTTGCAAAATAAAAACTAGAAAGGATTTAAAAAGCAGCAACCTGCCTGTGCATGACTGGGACACTGTATGTTTCCCATTAGCTCGGTTCTGAGATAATTATTTGTTTGTATAAAATATAAACAAAATATAAAGGTCAAATTCAAATTTGATTTTAAATAATGGAACCTTATACATACTTGCTGTTCACTTTCTACTTTTCCTCGCCTAGCTATACAAAAGCGTTCCCAGTTAGTGATGTCAAGCCCCTCAGGTCTGTTTTCAGGATGGTCCATTTCATCAATTGCTTTCATTAAATGGGCGAGAGCATCTTGATACATTTTGGCAGAGCCCGGCCGTTCACCATACGGATTTGCAGTATCTGTTTGTACTTTCATCTTCAAAGCCCTTCCATTATTGAACACAACAGGCAAAGAAAAATTTAATGTCTCCTGCGACACATTACATATACAACAGAAAAAGCTGTATATCACTAGTTTCATTTTGTCTTTTTAAAAAAAATCTCTATAGTATGTGTGTATTATAAACTAGCATTTTTAAAAACTCTATTTATTTGTATTTAATTTCTGATGATGAGCACTGATGATGTTACCTAGTTTGGGTAATGTAATGTCTGCAAGAAAACAAGCAAGCTCGGAGAGCACTAAGCACCCCTCCTGTCAACCCTGAGCTACAAATATTCTCCTTTATTTTTTAATTTCTACATACAGATCAGTAGGAAGGTTTGCAGTATTTCTTAATTTAAACAGAGATTATTTAGCTGTGTTATTGTCATTTAGACAGTATATTGTAGGTGTTCTTTGTGGAGCATGTGTTATTTTGCTCTGTGGTTGTATAGTATTCCATTTGTTTTTTAAAAAATCTTTTAAAAGAAAAAGGAGTGTGGCAGGCCAAAAGAGAGACTTTTATCACTAGTAACTGTGGCTACTACCATGTCATATAACAATGATTGCTTTATTGGTCTGTTTAGACATTTTTGTCATGTATCTGCCCTTAGAACTGCAAAATGAACTAATTTAATAAGCTTCAATGATTTTCAGTTTTTTTTTCAGATACTATCTATACAACTTCAATTTTTGCTTTAGAAAGCAATGTTGCTATAATGGTTCTTATAAGACTATTACTGTAAGAGGCAATTCACAGACTTTCAGAAAATGATGGAACTAATGAAATTATTCTACCTTGGTCGACGTTTATAAAGTTTGAATAGTTGATCTATATAATGAGTTTGAAGATCTGAAAATTCCTTTCTAAAGCCACGTTCCATAACCTATTGGTCAGAGAGAAAACAGAAGTCATTTAAGTTTAAGACTTTATTATGCCTAGTTCCAGTTCTGTTACACATAATGATTACATTTACAGAAAATAAGAAACTTTAAATTAAGGAATTGTCATATCCACTTTGCAAAATAGTTGCTGACTTCAAGGTGACATGACAAGATCTTTCCCAAATCAGCAGCATACATAAGGAATTCAATAAGAAAGTGTGGTTGCCAGCTTAATCAAAGCCCCCCCTGACCCTTTGTCCCTATCTGCAAATTGATGCACATACTGAAAAGTCAGGGTTTCAGTTATACTGTTATGAATGCTATCTTCATTTTTGAGCTCCCTTGATACTGTTGTACTTGTTGGCTGCAATATTTTTGTGGGCAGAACAACAGTCAAGATGGGAGTTGTGTGATTGAAGTCCTGTCACTTTCTATGTATAGCCAACATCATGGTGGGGAGGAACAGACTCAGACTCAACCCTTCCAAGACCGAGTGGCTGTGGTTGCCGGCGCCCCGGCATAGTCAGCTGGTTCCATCGCTGTCTATAGGGGGCGAAACTTTGGCCCCCTCAGAGAGGGCACGCAACTTGGGTGTCCTCCTGGATCCACGGCTGACACTGGAAGATCATTTGTCGGCCGTGACCAGGGGGGC